AAAAAAAAACAACTCGTGAGATTTGCTCATATACTAGTAAGCATACTACGCTTTACAATTTTATAAAGAAAATTAACTTAAAACAAGATATAAATTTTCCCGAAATGGAAGCTCTAACAGCTAAATGAATCACCTAAAATATTGACAAAGGCGCTTCTTTGTACTACAACCCCCAATTGTTACATGCTTGCGGTTTTTTTTTTTTTTCATTTTAACTAGCTAAACCTAAACCACAACTACTTACTTAACCATATTCCCACTTAATTTCTGCCCTGCTAATTTCTAACGCTTGCACATCTCTTTATTTGCCAGTTTCCACCGTCGCCGTTGAGGCTGTGCTGGGACGCACCGCAACGCTGCCATGTGACATTGAGCCGGAAGCGAAGGATGACAGAGTTTATATGGTGCTGTGGTTTCGTGAGAGCGCTGGCAAACCACTTTACAGGTGAGTGAGAAAGCTAACAACAAAAAAAGTAATATGGAGTGTAGAATTTTTACAAAATGAGTGCAAAACGTAATGAAGGTAGACAATAGTAGTAAAATGAATGCAACCGGGAATGTGAGAAAAAAGTATCAGCATCCTGCGGGTGCATATAACAATGCAGCATCGCCGACAGAAAATGTGGGCAGAGATGAAAGGAAGATAACTCTGCGCGTGAGCAAAAATAATAGCAGCACAAGTGGAATTTAATTGGGTGCGGCTGTCAGTTTGTAGCAGCTGTCAGGCGGCAGCTAACAGAGCGTAGCAAACAAAGCTTCAGCAGCGAACTCAGTCGGGTGTGCCTTAGGGTATTAATCCGACTGCATTCGTCTGCATACGTAAAGACATACATACATATGTACATATGAACGTATGCCACACATGCAACGCACGTACCTACACTTTTTTAAAGCGGTACAAAACGGTATCAACTGGTTTTTGCAACTTACGCTGTTGATTTCATTACTTCACCATAAATACATACACACAGGAACAAAAAAAAAAAAAAAATATGCACACATCTTGCTCATGTGCTGAGTGCTTATGGAAGTGTATGCGTACACTGTTTTTTTTTTAGTTTTGTTGGTCTGTTTTTTTTTTGTTTTTGCTAACTTAGAAACGCCACAGTTTTTGTGCAACCGTTTTGTGAATTTGCACAATTTCATTCCGTTGAGCTTATCCTATGCCGATCAATTGCGTGTCTATCATATTGTTGGCATATTTGCAGGCGCGCCTAGTTGTTTTTCGCATTCACTACATTCGTATTTATATACATACGTGTGTATTTGTAAGTTCACATTCATAATCACATACACATATGCATGCATACGCAAAATCCTGAATTCGTATAAAGGCAGTGGATTGCAAAAACATACTGCAAATGCATATGAATGGATGTATGCATATGCAGTTTTGAGTTCATAAACATATGCATGTACCATGTATGCATATATACATGCATACATACACACATGTCTCAACTGTGACATAAATGACGCCGCTGCTGGTTTTGCTCTTAATTGAGGCCTTTTACGTTCAGTTTTTTTTCTAAATATGCATAAACTGTTTTGCTTGCTGCGCCAAAACTGCAGTAAATTATCATCGCAAAGTTGTTATCCGTTTTTTCTGTCCTCTAGGCACTAGTTTTTGGACTAATTGAGTTTTAGCTTAGCTAAGAAAAAAAATGGAAGTAAATACTTTAATTTTTAATATCTTTTTTTGGCACAACAAAAAAATCAATTAAAGTTCAATGGGTTTTTCTTTAGTTTGTACCGCCAAATTATTATCTGTGCTGCTATGCAGATCAATATTCAGTCATTTTTTATTCCAATAGCCCGTATCGAATTCATCGCCAAGAATCGGATCTGTATAGTATTTAGTAAAATCTATATATGCGGCTTTCTTTTTCATATCGGATACTAAACTTGCTGTGCAAATTTCAAGCGGCTTCATATTTTTATATTCGAGGATTATGTGTTATTTTGCGTGAGCGAACAATTTTATGTTATTCGTTTTAGAAAACGTATCCCATCATGGACTAAAATATGTGTATTGTACGGAATTTCCATTATTTATTTGTTAATTTAATTTCACCACAGTAATTTCACATAAGCTTCATATATACAGTGACCACATGTTGATATTTTTAGTAATCTTCAATAATGTCTAAGCTTTAACCGAAACCAAATAAACTAAATTTTCAGATTACATATATACAAAATTTAGAAAAATTAAACGAATTTCAATCAAAACTTAATCAAAATTTTAATCCGAATTTTTGGAGTACGTTTGATTATGCAGCTTTATGGCCCAAACAATTTTAAACAAAGGAAAAGCAAGTTTCAAATGGCTAGAAAATCGAACTGATTTTTAAAACTTTTTTTTGCTGACGGTTTTTGCAATTTTTTCCGTTCTATCAAATAATATGCGGAAAAATGTCAAAAAATCAATTCCAATTTTTATAAATCGCAATTGTTAAAAAAAAAATCGCAATAGCCGTCACAAAACTAAAAATTAAAAATCAACGCAATCTTTTAGGTGGTTTAAACTTCGGCCGCATCAGACTAAAATTGTAATGTCTATAAAAGTGCATACTCAAAAATTTTCTAATGGTTTAGGCTAAAAAGTTGAAGTTTTGATGATATTAGGTGCATTCTTTTGCAACCGAGCTACAAAAGAACACTCGCTTAAATGACGAAATACATGCAAAGCAACAACACAAACTCGGCTATTTATCCGAGTTCAGCAAGGTCGGTTAAAAAATATGCGACCGGAAGGGTAATGTTGATAAGTGAAAAAACTTCTCTATTGTGAATTGTTAATAGGAAAGTGGAGGAAAATTTTTGTTTTCGTATATAAATGATTTATATTTTAAATAAGTGTATATAATTACCAACCTCGCATAATTACTCATGTCTATTGTTTTTTATGCCTAAATCCAGATAATAGGAAATTTTACCCGAGTTGAGCGTTCTTTTGTCGCTCGTTTGCAAAAAAAAAAAAACTATTGGCGTGGAGGAACGTGTGCATCGTCTCTTTACTCAGAAATGAATTCCTCTCCATTAGCCGCCTCACCGATAAAATTTTTGAGCCGCATTTATGCCCGTTAGCAACTCGGGCTCTTCAGAGTGATGTCGTTCGCTTCTTTTTCTTCTTTTTGAAAATATGTCTTTCTTCTATCCTTTTCGTCGCCGTAGGCTACAGGTACAGTGTTGTCACAACATTTTTTTTTGATTTTATCAAAATCACCAGAAAAAGTTACCAAATTCAACAAAAACTTATCTAGCTTATTTTGTGTGCAGAACTGTAAATAGATATGTCTGTACATATGTCCGAAGACAGCAGGCTTTTTATGCAACCAGCACTCTATTCAGCTATAATTTTTATATCTGCATGAACGCTAAATGTCACAACAACAGAATTGCTTATGGGACTAAGCAATACCTTTTGCGTGCATATTTGCCAATGTTTCAGTGCTTATTTAAGCGTTTAAAATGGATTTTTCTTGCTTGTTTTCTTCAGCCCTGGTTATACCCAATATACATACACACATATTTCAACAAGTAGCCAAATATGTCTCAAAAATTCAACGCTTGAAGGCAGCCCTGAAAGCTTTTGACTCACATATAGACAAAGTGAAGTCCCCTACTGAATAGATACCGTAGCTTTTCGAACGTACATAGAATTTTACTCCTATGGTTACCGGGTTACGCCGTAATATTGATGGCAATTGCAAAGCTGACGAATTGGCAAGGAAAGGTAGGACCGTCCACAACCTTTTGGAAAAGGACACGGTAGATATAGCAATAGTCACTTTCAAGCAGTTTTTTTAGAACTCCCACAATTCTACTAACCAAGGAACTCCAAAGAACTCTTCGCCTTGCGAAACATTCCTTGTATTTCCATAAATGGAAACGCTTAAGGCCAAAATACAATAGCGCAGTGGCAGTGGCAGTGACAGTTTTTAAAATCAGCTGTTACTGCTAATATTGGCCGTCACTGCCGCAGCAAATACAATACGGCGTTGTCTGTTCAAAAATTTGGTAAAAAAAGCTCGACCGCAAACTTTTTTTGTCAGAACTAAAACACAGCAAATTCTAAATTCTAAATAATTTCTATAATATTTACAAGAATATAAGAAAGGCACAGATAAAGAAATTACTCTTGGAGCTAGTAATGCATAAAAAGGCTTCACTAACCAAAATGCGCTGTTGTCTATTGTGAATGAAAAATAAACGAAGTCAACAAGGTAGAAAATTAAGCGTCTGAGGTAGCCAAGTGGTCATAGTAGTGTACCACAATTCATCGGAGATAGGATCAATCCCAGTCTAAGAAGCTTAAAAAATTTTGCTATTAGTTTTTTGCTTATTAATTATTTACATACAAACATTCATATGTATGCAGATATGTGTATGTAATTAAATTTTTATTTCAATTTAATTTTCACAAGTAGGACCTACTTAGTAGGTACATAACAAATTTTATTACATTAAAAAATATAGTAGTATTTAAAAAAGGAAATACAAAGTTTCTGGCCATAACATTCGTATACGCGAATCTCTGTCTGTGTTTTGCACTGGAACTCTTTACCTATCCAATAGTAGCCATATTTTCTTTAGCCAACGCCTTAGATAGGAGCATGCTGGTGAAAAAATTGTTCTAAATTTCACACAAATCAATTCAATTTCATCTGATTTTATTGACCCAAATTGAAAGCGCAAATATTGTTACCAATATTACACAACAGCAAGCCATTTGTTGCCAGCATTGTCATTATCCAGTTGTTAAACGTACCGTAAGAAAATGCTGTCAGTTAATTGTATACAAATAATTTATGCACAGTTATTTATTTAACATTGACCTTCGCAGACAGCTGTGTCTGTGACTCAATTGCTCCTTTCACATTGTTTTAATGCACTCATTTGACAAAACCAAGCCTTTCACAATGTCGTTGCGTGTACATTCACCACCTACGACTCAGATCAGATACATTTCGAGTAGTCGTTCTGTGCATGTACATATGTAAATATTGTTTATTGTGTGTGTGCCGAACTGTTATTTATAGTCACGGAGCAAAAGTTTAATATGTTATACATTATAAGCAGACATCGATATCCTTTGGCTGTGTCATTTTCGTTTACGCATAACATGAACTTCGAACTTCCTTCCTTGCGGCTGCTCTCTGCATATTTTCGTTTCATTTACCACAACGAATGATGGGGCATGTGGGTGTACATATGTACATACATACAACATATTTATGTGATGTCTGCGTTTGGTAAATTTTGGGCACCTTGAATTTGTTTGTGTATCAGTGTGCATATGTGCACTCAATTGAAGACAATAAATTTCAATTTTGTAACAAATACATGCATGACTTAAACACAGATAGATTAAAACCTTTTATTTTTTTCATCGTAGTTCACTGGTGCATATGTAAGATTGTGCGTTTGTATTCGAATTGG